CTCCGTCATCTGGACCGAGTTCGGTCGGAACAGCTCTCGCTAATTCTGGTAGCTCCCAGACGCTTGTCTGCGTCATGGTTTCCAGATCTGCAAGCGCTAGTGTCCGGCTCCCCATGGAGGCTCCCGTGGAGGGTGGACGCCCTTCTCCAGGCGAATGGGATAATCAAACATCCTCCAGAAATAGGCCAACGGCTGTGGGTCTGGCCGCTGAGCGGTCACGCTTAGAGGCGTTTGGGCTGCCGCATGATGTGGTCGCCACGATTCAGAGTGCGCGGGCGCCTTCTACCGTCACATCTTATGCTGCTAAATGGGCAGCTTTCCAGAAATGGTGCACAGAGCGGAATGTTCAAGCGCTCTCCTGCCAGCTGGCGGATGTCCTATCGTTTCTGCAGATACTGATGGACAGGGGCCTCGAATTTAGCACTATTAAAACATATGCTGCAGCTATCTCATCCTGTCACCAGGGTTTTGGAGATAGATCTGTTTTCAATCATCCTCTCACAAAACGTTTTCTAAAAGGTGTCAGAAGGAATAGACCTGTGTCCCGCCCGCTATTCCCCCAGTGGGACCTAACGGTGGTTCTGCGCGGCTTATCTGAAGCCCCATTTGAACCCTTGGACCAGGTCTCACTCAAATTCCTGTCACTCAAGACTGCCTTGCTGCTGGCGCTGGCATCAGTTAAGAGAGTGAGCGACCTAACCGCCCTCTCAGTGGCTCCCGCATGCCTCAGGATCCGGGAAGATGGCGGGTCCGCTGTTTTATGCCCCAACCCAGCCTTTGTGCCCAAAAACATTAATACTTCCTTCAAATCCAGGTCAATTTCATTGGCTGGACTTTTTCCTCCCCCCCCATAATTCTGATGAGGATTAGCTTCTCTGCCCGGTGCGTGCGCTCGCACGATATGTGTCACGCACTTCAGGGATTCGCCGCTCACAAAGCCTGTTTGTGCACTACAGAGATTCTTCCCTTGGGCAAGCGCTGTCGACCCAGCGTCTTTCACACTGGCTGTGTGACGCCATTTCACTCGCTTACCCCGGCTTTCCACAGGAGCCGTCAGCAGCACGTTACTGCAGCAGCACGTCATAGCTGCTGATAGGAACCGCTGTGGTCAACAGAACCTTTTCCACTGGAGCCGTCTGCAGCCGTCAGCAGCGCGAGTCGGCCGCGTCTCAGGAGCAGCATGTCGCGGCCTTTACGTGCCGGTTCTATTTTCTACGCGCGACGCCTCTGAAACGGGTCAAGTTCGACATTTTTGGGGAAGGAAAGACAGGAAATCGGACGCGGAAATGGAGAGAAGCTACCGAGATTTTCAGAATAAAGAACGTACTGCTTTCCGGTTGCTTTACTTTTAAAAAAGGTTACTAACTGTTCGTCCCCGTGAGAAGTTATCACCTAGCTAGCGGTCTCCTTTGTTTTTCAGGTCCGTATTGGCGATTATAAAACGGATAGAACATAAAACACAAACCATGTTGTAGTTTTCTCCTGCTTGTTGTTGTGTTTACTGACGAAGTCACTCGTGTGACTTCGTGCTCGGTCGGTGACAGCTGCTCTCCTGCTGCTTCGCGTCTCGTGGGAAGGGCCAAGCAGCAGCTTACGCGAGCAAGACGTGCTGCTGCAGTAACGTGCTGCTGACGGCTCCCGTGGAAACCTGGGGTTACACATCATCAGGGCGAGATCCTCCTGAGAAACTCAGGGCTCACTCAGCCAGAGGGATTTCCTCTTCTATGGCGCTCCACAGTGGTGTGTCGATGGAAGACATTTGTCAGGCTGCTTCATGGGCTTCACCCTGTTCCTTTACTTGTTATTATTTACGAGATGTGTCTTCAGGATCCATCACTCGTTCAGTGCTTGGACCTCAGCAGGCTGAGTGAAAGCATTATGGCACCTCATCAGCCCTACTTGAATGAATTTCATCCTCTTCTGGATGATATTTTTAGTGGGGGCCCCACTCTTCTCTCTGGCTGCCTCAGCCTTTTAAGCCCTGGGCTGAGGCTGAGCGACCCTCACTGAAAGGAGACATGCTGGGTGTGTCCATTGGTTGAGCTAACCAGTGTGGCGTAAACCCATCCAGCTGCGCATTATTCCAATAGCAGCTAGCTTAAGGGCTAAGACTAGACGAAATAGAATGTTGGTTACATATTGTAACCCCATATTCTATGAGTCTAGTCGCAGCCCTTAAGCAAATGGCCCCACTGGTTCTGTTAGGACTAAGAGCCATCGGAGGCAAACAGTGGAGTCGCTCCACTTATATACCCACAGGGGTGCCCACCATTGGTGGGCGTACATTTAAGCTCTTCATGACTGCTGATGCTGAGGTCATCCTTTCAATAGCAGCTAGCTTAAGGGCTGCGACTAGACTCATAGAATCTGGGGTTACAATATGTAACCAACATTCTTCAATTGTCCTTCAAGTTCTGTTGGTGTCAATATTTGGTAGTATTTGTTCATCACCATGGTAGAGAAGGGGGTGCCTGCCTGACATTAGATTGTTAATGGCAAGCAAGTGATTGCAAGAATTCTTAATAAACAACTCCTCATTGTCAATCTGTTTTTGACACTTGAGGTGTGCAATAAAGCTTCTCTCTCCAGTGACTCATGTCCAGTGATGTCACAGTAAGTAGAAGTGACTAGTCTTTCAAATCGAGTGTATGAGTATTTTGATGCTGTTATTATGTGTTTTTATGTCATGATGCTGTTTTTATGTGTTGTGATGATGCTCTGACTGCAAATGAAGTTCCTAACGGATAAATAAAGTGAATTGAGTTGAAAACCTAAAATTCCCATCTAAAAAACTTTGCATATTTCATCCGACCAATAAAAGAAAAGTGTTTTTAATACAAAAAAAGTCAACCTTCAAATAATTATGTTCAGTTGTGCACTCAATACTTGGTCGGGAATCCTTTTGCAGAAATTACTGCTTCAGTGCGGCATGGCATGGAGGCATTCAGCCTGTGGCACTGCTGAGGTGTTATGGAGGCCCAGGATGCTTCGATAGCGGCCTTAAGCTCATCCAGAGTGTTGGGTCTTGCGTCTCTCAACTTTCTCTTCGCAACATCCCACAGATTCTCTATGGGGTTCAGGTCAGGGGAGTTGGCAGGCCAATTGAGCACAGTAATACCATGGTCAGTAAACCATTTACCAGTGGTTTTGGCACTGTGAGCAGGTGCCAGGTCGTGCTGAAAAATGAAATCTTCATCTCCATAAAGCTTTTCAGCAGATGGAAGCATGAAGTGCTCCAAAATATCCTGATAGCTAGCTGCATTGACCCCGCACTTGATAAAACACAGTGGACCAACACCAGCAGCTGACATGGCACCCCAGACCATCACTGACTTTGGGTACTTGACACTGGACTTCAGGCATTTTGGCATTTCCCTCTGCCCAGTCTTCCTCCAGACTCTGGCACCTTGATTTCTGAATGACATGCAAAATTTGCTTTCATCTGATAAAAGTACTTTGGACCACTGAGCAACAGTCCAGTGCTGCTTCTCTGTAGCCCAGGTCAGGCGCTTCTGCCGCTGTTTCTGGTTCAAAAGTGATATGACCTGGGGAGTGCAGCACCTGTAGCCCATTTCCTGCACACGCCTGTACACGGTGGCTCTGGATGTTTCCACTCCAGACTCAGTCCACTGCTTCCGCAGGTCCCCCAAGGTCTGGAATCGGTCCTTCTCCACAATCTTCCTCAGGGTCCGGTCACCTCTTCTCGTTGTGCAGCGTTTTCTGCCACACTTTTTCCTTCCCACAGACTTCCCACTGAGGTGCCTTGATACAGCACTTTGGGAACAGCCTATTCGTTCAGAAATTTCTTTCTGTGTCTTACTCTCTTGCTTGAGGGTGTCCATGATGGCCTTCTGGACAGCAGTCAGGTCGGCAGTGTCATGTTCTGGGGCAAATGTCTAACCCAAGACATGCAGAATCAGGAGACGGAGACAATTTAAAGGAAAAAAATTATTATTTTTATTAAAACAGATAACTAAGGGTGCACTGGAAGTCCAGCGGATGGGGAAACAGGAAGCGGCGTCTAGAGGGAAAGCAACAGAGGTGAGTATTGGGATTTGTAGTCCAAAGTGGGGTGTTGTAGGAGGAACTCACGGTACGGAGACTCAGGAGAGCTAGGGAGGGGATGAGCCAGGGTATTGTCGAGGAAGGAATAATGAGCGGTCCAAGATGGTGAGAGATGATGTTTCTGAGAGGGGCATGTGGAGTTGGAGAGGGAGCGGAGACGTGGTGGAGAGCGGGATGGCCAAGCGGGTGATGGTGAACCATGAAGCGAGCCGGTGAGAGATCCTTGCAGGGTTGGATGGAAAACCAGAGGAGAAGCCAACCTGAGGTGAGTAATCCAGACAAATATCCAAAATTAATCTAGGTTCAAAAACATTCGCAAGAGTTCAAAGACTAGAGACGAGTTTAGTTCGAAGGGCAAGAGACTACCAGTCAGTAGTAGTCTTCCGGCGTCGAGTCATGTTCACCATCCTCTTTATAAAGCCGCCCCACAGATAAGCTGATGAGGATCAGCTGTTGCTCCCTCTCCTGCAACCAAAAACTCTCAGAGATGTTGAAGGATGAGAAGAGTACTCACCCCGGCTCATGACAGGCAGTCTTACCCATGATTGCGGTTTTGAGTAATGAACCAGGCTGGGAGTTTTTAAAAGCCTCAGGAATCTTTTGCAGGCATTTAGAGTTAATTAATTGATTCAGATGATTAGGTTAATAGCTCGTTTAGAGAACCTTTTCATGATATGCAAATTTTTTGAGATAGGAATTTTGGGTATTCATGAGCTGTATGCCAAAATCGTCAATATTAGAAACAATAAAAGGCTTGAACTACTTCAGTTGTGTGTATTGAATCTAATATATTTGAAAGTCTAATGTTTATCAGTACATTACAGACAATAATGAACTTTATCACAATATGCTAATTTTTTTTAGAAGGACCTGTATACTTTAGTCCTATAGTGTTGTCATCCTCCTTCAAATAACAATATTCTGTTCCCTTTCAGGCCGTCACTGACCCAAACGCAAGATGTCTTGAAAAAAAATTCAAACCAGAAGTTTTTCTTCTGTACTACTTGAGAGACAACCCAAAGGCCTTTAAAATATTTCAGAAGCAACTGTCTTCAGTCGGCTGCACTTTGGAGTTAAACTGTAAGCAAGAGGAGGCAGTGGTTCAATGTGATGTTGAGAAGGGGGCAGCAAGAGCTTTTACCGACATAGCAGACAAATGGGAGCTTCATGTGGATCGGATCTTCTTCCGTCTTACTGCGAACTACCTCTGCCATTATGTTCGTGAACCCATACTAATCGAAAAACTTCGGCTGGATCGTTCTTTTGTGTCTGATGACATCAAAGTGTACAAAGAGAGTGATTATGCTGTGGTGGTGGTAGGAGAGACTGAAGCTGTAAAGGAGAAGATTGCAATTCTGGAAAAATTCCTGCCGATCCAGAAGGAACTGCCAGTTGTGGAACGGAAGTTCAAACTGGTTGAAGATGAGTTCAAACAAGAGATGAGTACTCGTTATCCAGATGTTAAAGTCAGTAGAGGTACTTCTAACAGCATCATCTTAGAGGGGCCTGATGAGGGCGTACAATCAGGAGCTGCTAAACTTGACGAACTGATAAAAAAGATAAAAGAAAAGAAAGTTCGGCTTAATACAGAAATATTAATCTTTATAACGACCAGTGGCTTTGCCTCCAAATATCAAGATCTGTTTCTGCAGAATCTGAGGTGTCCTGTTTCTCTGGACATAGGATCAGAACTGCTACTGTCCAGTTTGTTCTCTGATGTTCTGTATGAAGCTGAGGAAACTGTGCTGAGAGACCTGAGTGAGGCCAGCATACAGCTTCATGGTGCTGCAGCTGTGCCTCCAGACCTGACCAGAGTGAAGGAAATGCTCCAGAAAGCAAAGAATGAAGCAAACCGTGGAGAGTTCAGAGTGGATGTTCGCTTCATCTCTTCATCCAGTGGAACTCCAACAACCCAAGTACAGCTGGTGGGCTACACTGAACAAGTCAACAAGCTCAAAGACCTTCTTCATGATTACCAGACTAATCAGATTTTGACTCAAGAATTAATAAACCTGCAGTTTCCTGAAATGGTGGACTACTTTGACAAAATCTTAAAGATGGTCGGCATGAAACAGACCAAAGTGATTCTGAAAGTCTCCCATTTTCCAAATCCGTTTGTGCTCTTGTCTGGTCCTCTTCATCTGGTTAAGGAGACCCAACAGGCACTTTCATCTGCTCTGGCCAGTCTGACATTAGACACCTTGGTTCTGGATGGACCAGGGGCTCAGCGCTACTTCCAGGGAGACGGTAAAGTGAGCAAGGAGCTGGTTGAAAGTTCCTTTCTTGTTCTAATCTGGCAGCAAGATGTTTACTCAAAATTTGGGACAATCAACCAAGGAAGCATCAACAGGCCCAGCAGCTGCACACCCAGAAGTCACTTTAACGCTCTTGGAGAAATGAATAAAATGAATCTGGAGATCAAGATTTGCAGTTTAGAAGATGAGCAGGTTTGATAATTTTAATATAATTCCACTCATTTAGCTAAACAGCTACATCCATGTGAAAAAATTCATTTTGTTTCTACATGTTTCTACAGGTGAATGTTTTGGTGGCTCCCATGCTCAACCAGCAACTAGCTTCTACCAATATTGGCACCTGTTTGCTTCAAAAAGGAGGGAGCATAATCCAATCAAATTTTAACTCAAAGGCAGCAATTTGTACCCTCGTTCCTGGTGACATTCTTGAGGTTGATGCCAGTTCATCTCTGAGATGTTCAAAGATCTTCTTCATAGAGTGCATGCCTTGGGATGGATTCACAGAAGGAAGTGTGCAGGTAAAGTAAACCAATATCAGCTGGAGATACAGAGGTTGTGGCTTTCTAATTTCAAAAGAGAAAGAAAGAGGAAAAAATACACATATTGACATGTTTTCCTGTCTATCAGACTACCGATTAACCAGTGCTACTTAAAGCAGATAAACAGAGCTGACTTTAACATAACAGGCCTTGCCAATATACTTTTTGACAAAGAAGTAATTCTAAATATTTTCATTACTATGATATTTATCTTGTTAACATATGTAAGCCAAGCAAGCAGCATGTCAGAGGTGTGACCAAGTCACTGCTTTGCAAGTCACATGTAAGTCACAAGTCTTTCCAGTCAAGTCTCGAGTTAAGTCCAAGTCAAAGACAACCGAGTCCAACTTGAGTCCAAAGTCAATGATGTGGAAGTCCAAGTCAAGTCCAAGTCCTTAACAGAGCATTTTCAGCAGCAAGTCTGTCTCGTTCATGGGGAGAGTTGGACTCCACCAAGGCTGCCCTTTGTCATCGATTCTGTTCACAACCTTTATGGACAGTATTTCTAGGCACAGCCAAGGTGTGGAGGGATCTGTTTTGGTGGCCTGAGGATCAGGTCTCTGCTTTTTGCAGATGATGCAGTCCTGTTGGCTTCATCAGAACGTGATCTCCAGCTTTCACTGGAGCGGTTCGCAGCCAAGTGTGAAGCAGCTGGGATGAGAATCAGCTGCTCTAAATCTGAGACCATGGTCTTGAGTCGTAAAAGGGTAGAATGCCTTCTCCAGGTTAATGATGAAGTCCTGCCCCAAGTGGAGGAGTTTAAGTGTTTCGAGGTTTTGTTCTTGAGTGAGGGGAAAATGGAGCATGAGATCGATAGGTGGATTGGTGCTGCGTCTGGAGTGATGCGGGCGCTGTACCGGTCTGTCGTGGTGAAGAGAGAGCTGAGCTGGAGAACAAAGCTCTCGATTTAACAGCTCTCTTAGTAAGTGCACTGTCCCCAAATCCTTTAAAGACTCTGTTATCATTCCAGTACCGAAATCCAACAAAATATCTTGTTTAAATGATTATAGACATTGGTTGCAATGAAATCGTTCAAACATATCATACTAACTCACCTGACATAGCTCACTTCTCCCCTCATGGATAGCCACCAGTTTGCTTACCAGTCCAACAGATCAGTTGGAGATGCAATAAACTTGGCCATTTATTGCATCATGCAACATCTGGAATCCTCTCACACCTACGCCCGGTAATTATTCATCAAATTCAGCTCTGCCTTTAATACCGTCAACCCTGTCAACCTCTTCATTAAACTCATGGATATGAAGATCGACATCACTCTTTGCCATTGGATACACAATTATTTATCATATAGGAATCAGAGAGTCAGGATTGGTAGCCTCCTGTTCTAACCTCTGACACTCAGCATAGGGGCCCCTCGGGGGTGTATTCTTTCTCCCTGGCTTTTTTCCATCTACACAAATTCACTGGTATCCTCTCACAGCTCAGTTTCTGTCCTCAAATATGCAGATGACACCACCATCATTGGTCTTATCACTAACAATAATGAACTATACTATCTGGAACAGGTTAGCTGTGCAGTTACATGGTGCCAAGACAACAACCTAGAGCTCAACACATTAAAAACACAGGAACTCATAAATGACTTTTCCCGCACTCCCACACACAAGATACCCATCTCAAATTCCAACCAACCCATTAGAATCACAGAGTCATACAAATTTCTAGGTACACTCATCAGTAATAACCTTAAATGGAAAAAGCGCGCAGATCAAATTTACAAAAAGCAAATAAATGTCTATTCTTCTTTAAACAACTAAAAATATTTAGTCAGGCACAATATCCTGTTTCAGTTTTACAATGCCATTATCCAAAGCATACTCTCCTCATCTATAATTGTCTGGTATGGTAATTTGGACTCACAATCATGAAAAAAGCTACAATGTATAATAGATAAATCATCTAAAATTACAGGCCATACCCTCCCTTCCATTGACTCACTATATCAAAGATGCATTACACAACGGGCGGGAAAAATCACCTCTGATCCTTCACACCCTGCATTTATATTTATATTGCTGCCTTCTGGAAGATGGTACAGGTCCCTACCGACCAAATCAGTTAGATTCAGGAACAGTTTCTTCTCAACGGCTGTACGGTCACTAAATAGAGTCTTTACCTGAAATGTCAAAGTGTTCCTGCCATTGAATGTGGACTGTTGTGTGAAGACACAGCGATGTGAGATGTGAGCATGCCATGCTGTACTGAAAACAAATTCCACCAACTTGTTGTGTGGTCATTAATAAATGAATCTGAATCTCATTTACCGGTCGATCTACGTTCTTACCCTCACCTTTAGTCACGAGCTTTGGGTAGTGACTGAAAGAACAAGGTCGCGGATAGCAGCGGCTAAAATGAGTTTTCTCCACAGGGTGTCTGAGCTCTCCCTTTAGAGATAGGGTGAGAAGCTTGGTCATCCGTGAGGGGCTCGGTGTAGATTTGCTGCTCCTCCACATCGAGAGAAGCCACTTGAGGTGGCTTTTGCATCTGATTAGAATGCCTCCTGGACGCCTCCCTGGTGCACAGCCCTGGAAGGAGACCCAACGGAAGAGGACACGCTAGAGGGACTGTTTCTCGGCTGGCCAGGGAATCCTTGGGATTCCCCTGCAGGAGCTGGTTCATGTAGCTGAGGAGAGGGAAGTCTGGGCCTCTCGGCTTAGGCTGCTGCCTCCGTGATCGGACTCCAGATAAGCGGTTGAAAATGGATGGATGGATGGATGTTGCATGAGTGTAAGAAATGGTTGATGAATAGAGATGTTAATTTGTAATGCAGAATTAAAATGTTAAAACCTGAGGAAACTTGTCACTTTTCTCTTTCAGGCCCTTGGTAATGGACTGAGAAGGTGTCTGGACCTGTGTGTACAGCAAGGCTTTAGTTCAGTAGCCATACCTATTATTGGACCTGGAGCTGTCTTCAACTACTCCCTGAGTAAAGCTGTTCAAGTGCTGACAGAAACCATCTATGAGTTTGGGTTGTCTTCAGGCTCTGGGTCTCTCATCAGCATCCACATTGTCATTAAACCAGGGCATCCTGATTCTGAAGAGGTAACTATCAGTACCTGTTAAAGCTCATCTGTTGAGTTTATTCAAATTATTTAAATGTACCACTTGATTATATTCCTAAATTTACAGTGCTACCATGAGGTGTACAACTGTCTCCGCTTTTATATGAACAGGGTAGGCCAAGGTAAACCAATCAGCTCCTCAAGACACATTTATTAACAATTGTAAAGACTTATAATAGCAAAAAATGTAATTCATTTTTAAGTCTATAGCTTTATCAAATTATACGAAAATGCTTTTCTTCTCAGCCCTCTTTAGGCCCCTCACCACTGACCTGGATGATGCTGATATAATTGTAGGAGGAAGGACTAAACTAAAGCTGGTTTTTGGTGACATTGCCAATGAGACTACAGATGCTGTGGTAAATACGACAGACTTCAAGAATTTTTATGCTGGTAGGTAACAAATGTTGACCAAAATTCAATATTTATGGAAAGGAATGAAGCATTTTGTAACCTCTTTTAATTCTAGAGACTGAATTAGAGGAAGGAGCAGCTACAAACGCACACAAAATCTCTGGACAACAAGAGCAGATCTAGAAAGTGTACGTAGAACAGAACAGAGCTTTGTATGCAGTAAAAGATCCGTGGCGCACGCACACACACACACACACACACACACATTTTGATGAATTCTTCTGACCCAAGACATACAGAATCAGGAAAATGAGACAATTGGGTGAGTAAAATGTAAAAAAAAAAAAAAAAAGGTTTATTTAAAATAGGGAGAACCATCCAAAAAGGAGGAGAAGGTCTCAGCACAATCTGCCGGTCCGAGGGAGAGGGTCTAGAAACAGACACAAGTCAGTAACTGCTGGCAGGTGAGAGAGATGAATGAGCTGAGCTTACAGTTCCGGTGGGGGAAAAACCAGTTCCTGAGAGAAGGGAGGTCAGGTCTGAGTGTGGCAGGATCTTTAGGAATCCTCCGATGGAACTCAGGAGAAAGGTTGGGTTGGAGGAGCGAGGCGTGGTCCAGGGGTGAGATACGATGAGATATGGTGGAACAGTGAGCGTAGAGGCTTGTGTTCTGGCGGCAAAGGAAATAGAAACAAAACATCAGAGACTCGGGAGGACAACAAGAAACTGGAACTTGAGTTGTAAGGTTAATTTAGGCAAGAGCTACTCAGGATGAGTTGTGTACCCAAGGTGAGTAATCATCCGGCAAGGTGAAGGTGTCTCACTCCTCCCTTTATACCCAGCCAGGTTGATGGTAGATCAATAACAGTCGCCATCTCCTTGGCACCGCCCACCTGTAATTAAGGACTCACAAGTGGTTTCTCTTAATTTGCATCCACATCCCTCAGACCATGACACACTCCTGCAGGTCACCCCAAGCTCCTCACTGCAAAAGAGGAGGTTGGGTAAAAGATTGTGGCCGCCCTTCTTCATGTGTATTTTGACTTAACAAATCCATAAAGGTTTAGCAAAATGTTAGCTACCACTAAGCTTACCACCGTGATAACTGTTTATTTGTTAGTTGTGTAACCCTTATTTGTAGAAAGGTGCCGGCTCTGAGGGGTACAGTACATGGAAGACGGGCTACAGTTGTGGTTTATAATCCTTCTTTATTTCCGAGCAGCAGGGCAGAACAAAACTCCCACACCGCAGCTCACCGCTGCCCCTCCACATCTTCCTTCTTCCCCTCTCCCCACCTGTCTTTTTTCTAATCCAACAGCAGGTGGTGTAAACAGATCAGTGTCTTCTTTTAATACAGAACTCAAATATACATAAACACAAAAAATACTGTACTGCCCAAAATAATGAAATGCCCAACACATTAATTATATAAACCTTAAATAAAGATTTCAATTGTTTTACACTGAACAGACCTATGTGCATTGGCAGTAGTTGTAACTTCAACAGCTCTGCTGTTATTACCGAGGAACTTTAGCTCCAAAAAGAAATTTTTTCACCATCCACTTGTTTTTTTTTCTCATTTCCAACTGTATTCACGGTAAATCCAGGTATTCTGAAGGTTTTGTTTAATTATTTTTTGTCTTTTCCTCCCGACAACGTGCTCTGGTGCCTGCCGTTTGCTCCTTGGTGCTTTGGTCTGTTTATAGGCTGCTATTTCTGCTGGGGTGTTGCATAGTCTGAGTGCTGCAACCACCTAGTGACTGGGGGCTGGTTTAACATTCCAGCATGAAAAATATGCTAAAATAATTGGATTCTTCTACCTCTCATGCCCCCCATGACAACCCCTTGTGCACCCCTTGGGGGGCGCAACCCACTAATTGAGAAGTACTGGTGTAAAGGAAAACAGAAGGACACAATAGTCACAAACTGAAACAACTAGCTCAGAGCAAAGCAAAATTAGCAGGTGTTTTCTGGGAAATAGAAAGATGCCTAATGAATGAGGTGATGTTACAGAATGAACAAGATGCAGAGATTGATGACATCTGGTAGTCTTCTGTGGAGTTACAGAGGGCATTGGTGCTGTGTAGTGTTTTTGGTGTTGCAATGCAAAAAGACCCGTTGTCCAGCACAGACTAGGAAGCATGCTTCAATTTCTCTGTCCAAGTGGGGCAGGTGTGGTGTTTAAATTGAATAAGATTCATCTAATGGAGAATCTCTGAGCAGGAGAGGAAGTGTGCAGCAGGGCAGTCTGGAGGGAGGGCTCTGTTCGGTAATGTAAGAGCAGTGCTGTCAAATGACAGCATTTCACTCTGGGGGCCCCTTGTAGCCTGGGGTCTTATAGCCTACGTTGCCTGTTGGCACATATATGTATGTCGATGGTTGGCACATAGTACTTCAAGTCAAAAGCATATCCATGGAACTAAAACGCTGCAGTAACTGTACAGGTTTGAAATCAAAAGATCAAAATAGATGCACTAATATGTAATAAATCAATTGTTCTTTTTCACAGAAGGTGTGTGTAGAGATATCTTAAATAAAGCTGGAAGAGAAGTGGAGGCAAAGCTAAAAGCAGGTAAAAAAAAAAGAACCAGCATGGTCATCAACCACCACACCTGAATGTCTTCTTACTCTGTTTTCTGTGATTTGTCTACAGCAAAGCTTAACCAAGGAGCCATTTTAGAATCCAAACCTGGATTGTTTCCATGTAAAGCTCTTCTGCATGTGCGTGGAGAAAATGATGCAGGTGCTGTTGAGCAACTCGTGTGTGACATTATTAAATGTTGTGAAGACAATGGATTTACGTCTGTAGCAATGCCTGCTATTCGTGCTGGTAAGCATACCTACCATGCACAGCTGAGGTGATTTGAATTGTATAATTGATTCCAAATAACCTCCATGCAGGAGCTGGAGGGATGGACCCTGTTGTTGTAGCAGGTGCGATCCTCAGAGGCATTAAAGTTGGCACCTCATCCACTATTCTTCACAGACTTGCCACCATCCGCCTTGTCCTGAGAAATATGGACCTCTTCTTGACTTTTAAACATCAAGCAATGCAGATGTTTTCTCCTTTAACACAAGGTAATGGGAATTTTGCAGAGTTGCCTTCCTGTTTGACTTCTAGAAATTAGAGAAAAAAAGTAAATGCTTGTATCTATTTCTTCAACTTATGTTCCAGTGTCACAGCAACTGCCTCGGGTACAACAGTCACAAGTGTCTGGCATCCTTAATACCAGCATTGCAGGTCAGCAGTCTGCCTTCCAGTTCCTCGGCCTATCCAGAAAGAATGTTGATGATGCCATGGAAAGGTTCAGTGAACTTTATGACACACAGTGCTCCAATCACAACTTTAACAAAGAGGATCTCATGGATTTAATGACAGAAGATGTGTTGGGTCTGCAGCAATTGGTAGAAACTGAAGGTCTTTGTGTGCAACTGGACCCATCTGGCAACCTAACAGTAAGTGGTTTAAAAGATGGGGTCAGTAAGATGGTTATGCTCATGCATGACATATTCATGAGAACCAAAGAGGAGAACAACTTGTACACACGGGTGGCATGGTGCATCATGGGACAAAATGGAAACTGGGAAAGGCTTCCCAAAACTTCAAACTACAAACTGGAAAAGCAGGATATAAAAGGAGGAATACAGGATGCACGGGGGGTCTTATGGCAAGTGGATCTGAAGGAGAGGAAGGGTACATCGCATGCACTTGGACAGAGTATCCTGAAACGAGTTGAACATCTGGATGGTAAGAAGAGAACATTTGTTACACGTTTATTTAGTAAAATTAATTAATCCATTTTCTCAGAGGTTGTGGATGCATGGTGGCGCAGTGGTTAGCACTGTTGCCTCGCAGCACGAAGGTTGCAGGTTCGAAACTCGGCTGCAGCCTTTCTGCGTGGAGTTGCGTGTTCTCCCCATGCATGCGTGGGTTTCCTCCGGGTACTCCGGTTTCCCCCACAGATCACAACATGCCCTATAGGTTATAAATTGTAAGTCGCTTTGGATAAAAGCGTCTGCCAAATAAATAAATAAACATAAACAAAGTCTGTTCTTGTAAAAAATAGACAAAGAATTACAATTCTGTGTGAGCAAGAAAATCAATTTTCGTCTAGAATATGCGAAGTTAAGTAACTTGTTTTGAGTTGAGGCCACTTTTATTTATTATCATCATTGAAAAACCCGACTTATCAGAATCCCATAGAAATTAGGACTCTTCGTAGGCCTACAGTCACATTTTGTGTGCTATGTAATTATCTTTTTTGTTTGTACCTTTTGTTCTTCTGTCAATTCAATTCAATTCAAAGATACTTTATTAATCCCAGAGGGAAATTAGAGTTTCAGTACACACAATTCAGAGATCAGACATACATAGGCAAAGACACATGACAAGAATTGGTGACTGTGGTCATTCGCAAACCTGAGTCGTGCTACCTTAATAGAGATCAGAGGGGTTGCATGAGGATTGGTTCAGGTGGAGGGAAAAAAAGGCACTTCAGAGTTACCCTCCATAGGGAGGGCAGCTTTGCTATGCAAAAAAAAAAAAAAAACCACCTCAGACACAAATGCAACAGACTTCAAACATTACACAACATAAGTGTCCACTAGGTGGGGTGGTGGGTTTTGGACTCTCCACACGTCAGTGCCTGCAGCCACGATAAGCAGCGCACGTCACCTCAGTCTGGACAGGGGGGGGGGAGGTCGTTGGGGTTTGGAGGGCACAGTGACTCCTGGAACGATTCGGCAGCCTTCACAGCCCGCAGTCTCCCCCAGGCTGGGATAGGGAGACAGAGTTGCCATGGCGATGACAGCATTCCACATTTCTTCTGAGGGGGGAGTATCCGTTGCAGCCTCATAGGCTCAAGGGCACCAGATTCAGATTAGAAATTGTTTTGGGGCCAGACAGAGTTAATTTCCTCTCTGTCTTAAAGTTCTGTTGATCCTCAACCTCTCAAAATCCCAATAATAGCGTAAATTAATCTATCCCAATCCGTGCTGCTTCTTCCACTCTATCCTTGATCGCATCCATCTTTTGTGCCAACGCATGAATCTCAGCCAAAGTTCCAAGCTTATGACTCATCTTGACAATTATATGAGTCTGTGAATTCACAGCGCGTTGTAATCCATCCCTGAGCTTGGGGAGAGCGCCAATATTTCTCAACAGCTCGTTAATTTTCCGGTAAGCCAGGAAACATCCTAGGCCAAAGAGCAGGAAACCTGACACCAACACCACGAATATCCAGACGTCTTCAGACAGCTGAGATAGGCAAATCAGGTTCCACTGTTTCCAGGAGTCCATGATATGCCCAGCTGGCTCTGTCCCAGAGGGGCACCTGGGAGCCCCTTCTCCCGTTCTCATCGTTGAAAAATTTTGTCAATCGTGCTAAGTGACCAACTGACCAGGTCCATTTTAGTAATTTCAGTTTCCAGTTTCCAGAAAAAATGCAGAAGCAGCTGTACACAGACAAAAAGCCTTGGGATAAGATAGGGAGGAGAGGAGGAAAAAAAGCGTCTGTACTCTCCAAGAGCCGGAAGAAGAAACAAACAACATAACAATTTGTGCTAGCCTTTGTATTTATCAAAATATATATCCTCTGATCTCACATTTAAAAAAAAAAAAGAGGAAAAAGTTCACAACATAAGCTGCAAATAAGCATTATATACATATGCAAGGATTCCCTTTTCCGTCTTTTACAAACTTTTACAACTCAGGGGAAATATCCATGCTTTCGTTCTTTTTTAAACACAGAAACAGTTTTGTTTACCTGTTTGTAGCTACGGTTTCGCCGACAGCTGCCGGCTTCTTCAGGCTGACGCTGATGGTGGCGCGTCACTTCCTTCTCCGTTTATCTGCGGGCAGCAGAGGACGTTGTCGCCCTCTACTGCCCGCTCTCCCCTCTCCGACAATGCAGTCCCATGCGTGGTCCAGCGTGTAAACTCCGTCGTCCCTGTTCATGGTCCCACATCCACGTCTCCTTATCTCTATTGCTTCCTTGATCCATCTTTTGTATTTTTGTTGTTCAGTGGTTATGATCCGTGTGCTGTCCCAGTCCATTATATGGTTTTCTCTTAAGCAATGATCTGTTACGGCTGACTTGTTTATTGTACTTTCTGCTTCTTCTTTTGCTGCTCTTGTGTGTTTACAATTTGCCTCTTTCTCGCACTCCTTTTTGTGTTCTATTGTCCGTGTATTGAGTTGGCGTCCGGTTTCTCCTATGTATGTTTTATTGCATATTTTGCATGGGATTTCGTAGATGACTCCACATTTTTGTCCAGCTGATATTTTGTCTTTTGGGTGTACTAATCTGTTTCTAACTGTTGTGTATGGCTTTGTTGGTGTGTTTATGTTGTGTTTTTTCATTGTTGCTCTTATTTTTTCCGTTATGCCTCTGATGTATGGTAGGGTTATACACTTATGTTGACACCATCAGCGTCAGCCTGAAGAAGCCGGCAGCTGTCGGCGAAACCGTAGCTACAAACAGGTAAACAAAACTGTTTCTGTGTTTAAAAAAGAACGAAAGCATGGATTTACAAAGACACAGCAAGAACTCACCTAAGATGTTCAGGGGAAATATATTTTGAGAGATCCACACTCAAAGACACGTTAGTGATGAAAGAAAGCTTTGATTTGCATTATTTCATTATCTTAGCTAAAGATTAGATGTCAATTAAAAAAAAGGGTCTCCATTGATGAACATCTTACTGTTTTCTTTGACCTAATGGAATATTAAAAAGGGATTATTTTCTGCTTTTCAGATTTTACCTTCCCTCTTTACTGGGACAGTATGGCTCCAGGTGAGGTCATGAAGGTTGTAACCTTGCAACCACATTCTCAAGAGTACCAAACAGTGGAGAGAGACTTCAAACAAACTGCTCACAAAAAAATAAGAAAGGTCAGTGGCTTTCATGAAAAATTTATGATTTATCTCAATTTAAACAACCTCTGATGTTTTACATGAAACACATATATTCACACCACAGTATAATTTGAGGGATTTAGAATTGTGTGTACTGACAGTCCCAGTCCGTCCCTAACACTCACCCACTAAACTTTTATAACCATTTGGGCAGTGGCAAGCAGTTAGCATTTTGGTTTTACTCACCACTGTAGCTCTTTTGTGGTTTTAACGTTGGAATGGCACCAGTCTGAAGATCTGAAAACCCACTCTTAGTATTGGCAAAGGTTTAACAAGCAGTCTAAAATAATGGTCATATTCTGGCTGTTTTTGAGAGCTCCTAAAGATGAAATCCAATCATTTCTCGAGATTAAACTTTTCTTCAGGAAGACCGGACAGGGATCTTGTTCCTCTTGCAGACATACTGTGATCAGCATAAATTAGTTAAAAAGTATGAATTTAATCAGCAGCTCAATGAACAACAGAACAGTTTCCTGAATTTTCACAAGGCTGCTTTTATTGAACACTTGTTTAACTCCATAACATGAAATTAAAGTTAATAATGTAACTTAGATCACAAAATCTTCAGTTTTACTAAAATTTGTTGAAGCAAAAATGAATACACCCTGCACCAAAAACTACTACATCTTGCATTTTGTACGACCACCGTGATTTTCAAGGACAGCACCACGTCTTAAGGGCATGGAATGAAAAAGTTGGTGACATATTGCAACATCTATCATTTTCCATTCTTCAAGAATAACCTCTTTTAGAGTCCGGATGCTGGATGGAGAGTGATGCTCAACTTGCTGCTTCAGAATTCCCCACAGTAGTTCAATTGGGCTCAGATCAGGAGACACACTTGGCCATTCAATCACCTTCACCCTGTTCTTCTTCAGAAATGCAGCAGTAGCTTTAGATGTGTTGTTGGAAAAGTGCACGATGACCAAGTGCACGGAGTGATGGCAGCATCTTCTCCTTCAGTATAGTGCAGAACATTGTTGAGTTCATGATACCATCAGTGAAATGCAGCTCCCCAACACCAGCAGCACTCATGTAGACCCACATTAGGACACTGCCACTACCATGCTTCACTGTAGGTACCATGTGTTACTCTTTGAAATCCTCACCTTTACAACGCCATACAGCTTTGAAACCATTAGTTCCAAAAACGGTGATCTTTGTCTCATCACTCCGGAGTCTAGAGTCCTAGTAGTCTTCATCTCTTCCAGCATGGGCCCTAGCAAATCCTAGGTAGCTTGTTTGTGTGTGGGCTTTAGGAAAGGCTTCCTCTGTGGATGATACCCACGCATGCCATTCCTCTGCAGTGAGCGCCGTATGGTGTCATGGGAAACGGTCACTCCAGTTTGGCTTTGTACTGCTTTAGCTAACTGCAGTGAACTTGCATGGTGATTTTCTTCAACCCTTCTCATGAGAGGACGCTCCTGTCCAGATGCTAACTTCCGTGGACGGCCTGGACATCTTTGTAAGATGGTTGCACTTCCATCTTACTTACATTTTTGGATCACTTTTGCAGCAGTATTTTGAATGATATGTAAAGCTTTGCTAATCTTCTTGTAGCCCTCACCTTTTTTGTGTAAATAAATGATCTCCTTTCTCAGATTCTGAGACATTTCTCTTCCACATGGAGCCATTGCTGACAGCAGGAAATGGGAAGGGCTTTTCTTTGTTAAGTAATACCCTTTTATGGTCACCTGTCTACTGGACACCTCTTAAATGACTAATTAGACTCACCTGTGGTTGAATGCCTCTTCATTATAATTTGTAATCTTAATTGTGGCTTTTCTTCTAAGACTAATTGGGGTGTACTCATTTTTGCAACATGGGCCTGGATGGATTTGTTAGGAAAATCTCTTTTGTGTGTGCGTTTTGTGATTCTATCTACCAAAGTCATAAGAATTATTGGGCTGCTGGTCAACCAGTGGGACACAATACCAATATATTTAATTTTAAAGCCAATACTGGCATAAAAATAATGGTAGGCCAGTAATCTCAGACATCCCTAGTATGCATGCATTATTTTTGGTGTGCATACATACCTGTATACCATTTATGTGCATTCCTGTATATTCCCTAATATCGAAGGTTTAGCAACTCATTATTTTCTGTCTGTTTTTTCCTTTTAGATTGAGCGTTTGCAGAACATCCATCTACGTCGTGCCTATGAGGCTCAGAAGAAGCAGTTATCTGATAAAAACAAAAACCAAGGTGGGGAAGGAGAAAAGCTTCTGTACCATGGAACAACAAGAGAAAGCTCTGATTCAATCATGAAAACTGGGTTCAACAGACGGTTTGCTGGGCAAAATGGTAAGAACCCATCTATCCATATCCCAAATTTGCATGTTTTTCTTCTAATTAAAATACTATTTTTATTTTCCTATTGACCCTTTGTACCTAAGTTTGTTACCTGATCATGTGGATCTGCCATGATGTCAACAGTGAATTACAGGAGTGTTAAAGAGAGACCAAAAAGTGGTGACTGAGGTTGTTTTTTGCTAGTTTAGCCTGGTTTCTTCTAGTTCAAGCACAGTTAATTTGTGGGTAGATTTAGCACACCTAGGTGGGGCTCGTAGAGAGCAGTATTTACATAAGTTAAGTGTTAGCTAGTAAACAAATGTTAGCTTAAGTTCTCCCTGCTGCTCTTCGCTGACTTAAACAAGTTGCCGACTTTGCCAGAATTCACCCCGCTAGATTTATAACATTTTGCGATGAACAGCATTCACTTAACACTGGTGTTGATTACATTATTTTTAAAGAGTCTGGATCTCGACGAGTTTTTGTCCCTGGTCACCGGGACCAGCTGCTACTCTCACATCAAAGAGAGATAGATGTCTCCTAACAGTTAGCTAATCATGCTAAATAAATAATGTAATTTTCACATACCTTGGAACATTATTATTAGTTTCTAGTAATTCACTTTAGTGGATGAAAATGGAATGTTTACTTTGTGAAGTCGGAGCTGCCAACTTTTGAACATTTCAATGAGTGAGACGGGGTCATGGGGTTAGGAGCAGACAATTCGCCGAATGTTTAGAGTGGGCGGGGGGTATTAATATTGAGACTTTTTGTGCGCTACATTTTATTTATTCGTTTTTACTCTGTACGGAAGAGGATTAGAGCCACTGACAAGAAAAAAAAGAAAAGAAAGAGAATTCTTACTTTTTTCTCAGAATTCTGACTTTTAATCTCGGAATTCTGACAGGGAATTCTGGGAAAAAGTCAGAATTTTCTTTTTTCTTTTTCTTTTCCGTGGCCCTAATCCTCTTCAGTACCTCTGACTTTACAGAGGGAACTGACCATTGTTTAATACGAATTTTCTTTTCGTGAAGAAAATTTAACATCCAACTCTTCTGAACACCAGTTAAATTATTACTTAAGTGTTGTTTGTGTGCATATTGTTCAGTAGCTAATGCTATAATTAATATAATCTGTTTTTTTTCATAAGCCCTACACACTGTGCATGATGCGTGTTTGGGGAACGCAGGCGCTGGTTTACTTGGAGGTGTGGCGTGAGAGCGTGTGAAGAGGGTCAAATGCGTGTGTCTCACACTCAGTGCGTGAGAGTTGGCAGCCCTGTGTGAAGTGCCTTGAGATAACTTGTCGTGATTTTGTGCTATATAGATAAACTTGAATTGAATTGAAATGTACATCCTCCATAGTGAGTCGTAGAATTGTCATAAGTGATATACAAATATTTATAATTTCAGGTCCATCACAGTCAGTCCCTGTCTTCCTCATGAAATATATGAAGGTTAATCTTACCCAGTAGAACAAGTTCACTTATTTTGAGGGCTGCTAGTCAATCTGACTGACAGCTGCTGTCCATCCTCATCTTCTGTCTCCATCAAAGTTATTCAAAAAAGAAAAAAAAAGACAAGTTAAGTTGACATCCTTGCCAGTTAGTGCAGCCAACCGCGCATCAAACTATTACCATTTTACTATGAAATCAACTACAGGCGCTGGTCATAAAATTAGAATATCATGACAAAGTTGATTTATTTCAGTAATTCCATTCAAAAAGTGAAACTTGGATATTAGATTAATTCATTAAATACAAATGATAATATATGCTTATTTCTTTTGATGTTGATGATTATAACTGACAATTAATGAAAATCCCAAATTCAGTATCTCATAAAATTAGAATATTAATTAAGACCAATTCAATTAAAGGTCATTTGAGAAATGTTGGTTAACTGAAAACTATGAAGATGAAAAGTTTGAGGATGTACAACACTCAGTATCTAACTGGGGCTCCTTTGACCTGGATTACTGCAGCAATGTGCTGTGGCATGGAGTCAGTCTGTGGGACTGCTCAGGTGTGAGAACCCATGTTGCTCTGATAGTGGCCTTCAGCTCTTCTGAACTGTTGGCTCAGGTGTATTGCAGTTTCCTCTTCTTAATACCCCAAAGATTTTCTAGCAGCGAGGCTCTATAACTCAACAGAGCCAAATTGGGGTCTGTAATGAAAAAAAGAACCATACTTGTGGAAAGCATAAAAATAAAACAAGACATATGCTAAATGTGTTTTAAAGTGGAAGGTAATAATGTTCCCCTGGCATGTAGATGAGTTCAAAATCATAACTGAGAAGTTTCATCATGAGTCTCTGAAGTTGGGGCAACATCCCACTGAGGTATTTCTTTAGAATAGTTATCAAAGGCTTATGGTAAGTTTCAGCCACAAACCTGGGGAGACCATACACAAAGTTATGGAATTTTCCAAATCCATACACAAGTCCCAAGCACTCCTTTTTCTATTTGTGCAAAATGACATTCAGTCGCGGTCACTGCTGTTGATGCAAATGCAACCGTTCTCCAGTTTCCCCCCATCTTTCTGCAGGAGTACTGCTCGATTCCCATTGGTCAACCCTTTTGTGGCTATTTTAGTTTGATTTTAGCAATCACAAAACATCAGGACCGGTTCAGTGGTAAGGATGTGTTTAAGTTGCTCCCATTCACTATCATGGTTACAGGTCCATCAGAACTCCTGTTTCGCATGCAGGAACTGTCTCAGGTGCAATGTTGTCATTGAAATCCTTAGGATCCATACAGATCTTTGGGTCACCATTAGGCTTCTTGACACAATCCCTGGTGTTAACCCATTCTGTGGGATCCTACACCTTTCATATGCCTCTCAACTAGTCATACTGTCCAGTTCCTGTCTCAGTTTGTCCCTCAGGGCACTCTGAACTCACTTATGGGACACGTCTGCATCACACTCCACCATTTGGTCATTTAAATGTTTTCCTCCTATTCCTTTCGGTGGTATTGTAGAAATATTTTATGTCAGTTTAATAGAAAAATGTTCTTTTTGCCCTCAGCAACAGCATATGGTAAAGGAACCTATTTTGCTGTAAAAGCCAGCTACTCTGCCAGCACCACTTACTCCAGACCAGCGGCTGACGGTTTTCAGAGAATGTTTTTGGCCAAAGTCCTGACTGGCATGTTCACTCAGGGCCAACATGGCATGAAGGTTCCTCCACCACTGGACGACCGACAGCCCAGCAGTCGTTACGACAGTGTGGTGGATAACATCAGCAGTCCCGGGATGTTTATTGTCTTCCATGATGACCAGGCCTACCCAGACTACCTCATTACATTCAACTGAAAGGTTTGTTAAGTTTTAAAAGACGTTACCTTGAACATAAAAATACATTAGGTTTTTGGAAAATTCATATGAAATGAAAAAAAAGAACCATACTTGTGGAAAGCATAAAAATAAAACAAGACATATGCTAAATGTGTTTTAAAGTGGAAGGTAATAATGTTTGTGTAAATTACAAATTTATTTTTGCCAAGTTTAGAAAGATGTGAATAATGCTGAGTCATCAAGACATAACATTTTTGTTAAACGATTGAACTACCAGTTCTTTTCATCGACACAAAAACATTAATAAAACATCATTTCTCTCACATTTTCTTACAAAACATAAGGACGATTATAAAATACTATGGTAGCTCCTCTTTTATCTGCTTGAGATAAATATTTGTTCCTATACTTAAATTTTTTATATCTTTATCTTTAATTCCGATTAAATTCTGTTGTATTTTCTGTGTTTATGATGACTCTGATTTTTATACATTTTCCCCCCACTATGGCTTAATTCTGACACATTCATTTTGTGCACAATGTTTTGGGGCCAGAGGTCCTTCATGTTTAAAACGTTTTGTCCAGTTTTTACCTATATTGAGCTATGACTATGCAAAAGGTGCTCTATAAATAAATTTACTTTACTAACTGAAATGGACAGTTTTGCTAACATTTTGGTGTGCTGACTGTTATACCTTGATTGTATGTTTTTTCTTTGTCTAAGCAACTCTGACTTTTGGTGGCAATTTGAAATTAGAAATTAAATATTGTACTATAATTAAATATTGTATGTTAAAACAAATGCATTTGTGGATTTTTGCTCGAAAATTAAACATTTAGTTGAAAATGTTACTTTTCAGTATATTTCAAATAATTGGGCTGTTCTCTTTACCTTTGTCTTTGCATTAAAATAATTTTAAAAAATTATTAAAAATGCTGATGTTACACATATTTAACTTTTTTGTTACATTTTATTCTAACAGTCACGAGCTTTTGTGTGATTTTCACACAGAGAGCCAGAAATCAGTGTGTTATTGTAACCAGGGCCTTCATTTATCAACCATACTTACGAACATATATGTGCATACTTTATGCTTTGGAACAATTTTACACATTGTGTGGTATTTACCAATTTGTACATGTGCGTATAAAATGTAAACAACTCCTTAAATGTAAAATGTAAATGACAGACCGTTACTCTACGATTTATCTTTTTCTATTTTATGTGGAACCATTTTTATTTAGTCCGTACAGGAACCTCTCCTCTGTCCTGTCTGCTTTTACAACCTCTGCATTTTGTTCTGTGCTGTTTTACTTTGGCAGTCAGTGCCAGATACATGGTAAAGTGACATCCATAAGTCGTACATCCATCTAATCATCTAGTGTGACGTCATCGACAGGTGCAGGACCTCGAGCCAGCCTGTAGGAAACATGGTGTACCCAAAGATGCTAGACCTGCACCTGCACCCTATGCACTTCAGACCCGATCTTTAAGGTTATATAGTACAAAGCCGCCAATATTTTTCAATGATTGGACATTATTTTCAACAACATTTCGATGGATATTTCCAGAGATTAATGGTAAAAACTACACATTATCCCTTTAATGCAATATTTGCACTGATTTTCAAGCTAGGAAATGGCTCTCAAAACAAAACATCCACTGTTTATGGGTGAGTCTGTGTCTTTATGTAACTGTGTAACTGTTACACATGCAAGTACAGGTGAAACCCACTCTTCACAAACATAGCTCTGCCAACAAAAACACACAAAGGGGTTCTGCTACTCGTTTAAGGTAAAATGGATGAATTCCAACATTCTGTGTTTTTTGAGGCCAGAGACCTGACAGACAAAGAGAAAGTGAAAATCAGCAGATACTTTCAGAAAAAAAAAAGGACACTCTGGAAGTGGAGATTGTGGAAAGATCGAAAAGGTCAAAAACAACGTCTATAAAGTCAATTTCAAGGAACAACAAGGTAAGTTGTAAAGCTGTTGATTTAAAAAGAACATGTTTGCAATTTTAATAAACACATGAGTCTTCTTGTAACTTTGTTCTATTTATAGACCAAGAAAGAGTTCTGCACAGAAAGACTCAAAGCATTTCTCTTCCTGGAGGGGAACTACATAACTTAGCTGAACTAGTTCAACAACCAATTTTTGCCCTTCATTCTTATAAAGAGTTAGGACGACGAGTCACGGGTCCACCCCCAGGGAAGCGAGGATCATCAGCAAAACTCAGGAGAGGAGAAAGCACAGCACAGGGCACCTCAATGTAGACACAACATAATGGTGTCTCATACAAATCAACAAAAAGATACCTAATACTGTGAGTACCTCTTGTACTATGTGTAGGAATTACGTGAATTAACCTTTAAGTGAAGAAATGGGTGCACTACCTCTACGTGTACTGCAAAAAGGTGGTGCAGAAAGCATAAAATTAATCTAACTCTATCTGGTATGAGAGAAATCACTGCACTAAAACTCTTTATAAGAATGAAGGGCAAAAATTGGTTGTAGCCCTTTAAGGTAAATTAACTAAGTTAATCATAAAGTACTCAAACTTAATTACCCTAGCAAAAGTACTATAAAAAGATAGATATGTAAGTGTCAAAACACTAAAAATGTAAATCAGTGAAGTTAGTAATCAACCTACATGTGAATGTACCCATAAGGCATTACGATTAGTGAAAATAATAATAAAAAAAATTGGATAAAAGTAATATGTGGCCTAAACCCATCTACTGTTAACTACCTGATTACCTGACTTCAGGAACCCACAGCATGTTCATCTCCAATCACCCAAGTCTGCACATCATGTCTAAACAGGAAAGACAACCATGCACACCCACAAACATAGACAAACTTGTGTAACTCAAGATAGAGAGCTATGGAACCGACGAGGCGCAAAATCACCCCCTTTCGAAGTCGGTAAGTTGTTGGTGGTAGCATTGACCAAATCAGTGGAACCCTTGTGCAGTTTGATTTGGTCCCTGTGGACTCATTTGTAGACGGGCTCCTTGTTTGTTTGGGTAATCTTGATCTGATACACGACTGGAGAGAGCTCATCAGTTATCAGGTATAGGCCTGACCATTTCGGCAAAAGTTTCTTAGCCAGCTTCCCAGAGGTGTTCTTGGTGTTACCAGTTTTAGGAGCGAAAATGTAGAACCAGGCCTCTTCACCTATGTTGAGTTCAGAATGTGAGGCCTTCTTATTGTAATAAGCCTTCCTGCCTTCAGCCGATTTCTCCAGATTTGTCTGTGCAAACGAGAACGCTGCAGGCAGATGGTTCTTCAGGTTCTGCAAATATTGTTCGCTTGTGTAAGCCGGGTCGGCCTCGGACTGAACTGGTTGGTACAGCAGGTGAAGTGGCAGGGTCATTTGTCTACCCGTCATCATTTCAAACGGGGAGACACCAGTAGACTCGTGAGGGGTGGCCCGTATGGCCATGAGGACCAACGGAGGCTTCACATCCCAGTCTCGTTGGTTAGAGGACACGTACTTCCTCAAAATGCCGACAACCGTTCGGTTCATCCTTTTGACCTGGCCAGAAGACTGGGGGCGATGGCTAGTGTGGAAATTGGCCTTCACACCCAACAGTTTCCAAAGATGTTCCATCACTTCAGAAGTGAAGTGAGTACCCCTGTCCGAGTCAATCCGAGTGGGCAGACCGAACCGGGTAAAGACGTGATTCATCAAGAGAATAGTTGTTGTTTTTGCCGTGTCATTAGGTGCTGGTAGACATCCAATCAGCTTGGTGAATGCACAGGTCATGGTCAAGATGTATTTATTACCCCTGCTGGACCTGGTCAGAGGCCCCACCCAATCGAATTGCAATTCCGACCATGGTGTGGACGGTCCCTTTTTCTGTAGGGGAGCTCTGTGTGCGGGGTTGGATGGCTGAAACTGACAACAAATCAAACAACGCTGGTCGTGGTCTGAGACGTCGCGACACATCCCCGGCCAATAAGAAACCTGGCTCAGGGCACCGAACGTGGCTTTGACACCTTTGTGTCCGGCGGAGGGAGAGTCATGAGCTTGCGTGATCACGCCTGCTCTTAGTGGCTGTGGCGCGATGAGGACAGGTGGCAAAGGAGGCTTGGCGGCGTGCATCAGCAACCCTTCAACCATTCTCAGCGTGACCCAAACACGAAAGAAAGCACGGAGCTCAGGAACGGAGTCAAGCTCGGCGGAAGAAGGCAGATGAGTTGTAGGATCAGAAAGGTACAGGATCATCCTGCTCATAGCAGGGTCCTGGGACTGAAGACTGACAAGATCGTTACCAGAAAAGACAGGTTGAACGGACACCACACCCTCGGATGGTATGGAGGTGGACGCGTTAGCGGCCGTAGCTCGAGTCACGACACACACACGGGGTGGGTCAGACTGAGAAGACACATCTGTAGGAAGTAGAAAGGGGTTGAAGCCCCATGGAATACCATCGGCCGCGCCCTTTTTGGCAAGAGAGTCTGCAAGGTCGTTCAGATCCTTATCAGTTCCTGGTGCACGAGAATGTCCTTTGACTTTACGCCAATAAATGTGCATGTCATGTGCCGTCACTAGGGCGTCACAAGCCATGAAGAGGTCCTGATGTTTAATGGGCTTCTGATTGATGTTTGGAACCCGTTACTCTTCCAAGAAGGTAGATGACAAATGAAATTGAGACGCGCGTAGTCCGAGTCAGTGCAAATCACCAGCTCATGGATGCCATGGTTCGCAGCATGTTGTAGTACTATCAAGATCCCAGCCACTTCTGCAAACTGTGAGGTCTTAGAACCCAACCAGTAACATTGGGAGTCCTTCTGGTCAGCATGCAACCAGACGACACCCACGCCTGACCTAGGCATAGGGCCGTGTCGAAAAGAACTGCCATCGACGTACACGGTCGGCAAGTCCACACAGAGACACTGATCGAAGTAGTGGTGGTTGGGGTTTAGAAGAGTCTGAGGAGGGCTAGCTGGCGGGACTGACGCGACAGCGTCGTCCGAGCAGTGTTGGCACGCAGCCAAACCCATGCCAAGAGGGCTACGGCGGTTCTGGGCGGAGCGTACATCGATGTCGAAGCTTTGAATAGCCAGCAGCCATGACGCGATTCGCGCATTGGTCACCACACCATCTATGATGTGCTGACTGTTAAGGAAGGTCACTGGGTGGTGTTGAGTCTCAATGATGATTTTCTGTCCACCAATGTAGCTAGAAAAGTGCTTCACCGCCCACATGGTGGAAAGCAAAGCTTTTTCACAGCCAGAGTACTTCAACTACATCATAGCAGCAGTGACATATGGTGTTGGTAGTATGATGGTCTGGGCTGCTTTGCTGCTTCTGGACCACTACTCTCATAAACTACTCTCCGCCAGAGTAACATGAGGGAGATCTGACCTTTGACCTCAAATAGGCCATTCATGCTGTAAATCTCTCCAATGTGCCTGAATGAGCTGTGGACACTCCTTGCCTTTATTGTATGCCCAAGAAAAGCCTAAACTTGTTACTCTCAAGCTGCTGCCTTCAAAAGTAATTTGTTCCATCAGGATAAGAGCCTCACAGTCGTGCTCAAAGCTACTTGCACAGACCCTTCAACAGGTCTGATTTCAACAACAGAAAGAGAATAAAATGATTTAAAATGCATTTATTTATGAAAAGATCAAACGTAAGTTCCAGAGTCATAAATACACTGTAGAAACAGGAATTCTGCAGATTTTTCTAACAAACTGCTTTCTAAGCCACTAATCCCACAAAACGATTCACTGAGCAAATGTTTATTTTCTGGCCCAGTAATTTTATAATTAAGCTCAACTCTACCTGAAGGTCTGTTTTGTAAATCACAGCTGAGAGACAAAACCAGTCTGAACCTTCATGAACAAAGCAGGTGTGTCAGGTCGAATCCTAGGGTGCCGTCTCCTTGAACATCTAGCTCAGCCTGGACTCTAACAGCTGTACGTGAACTCAGTGAGTCACCAGCAGCCACACAGATAGTGTGAGGAGCTCTGCAGATACACAGAGACGATTTGGTCAGAGACATCATTGCGGAAAACTCCACTGCTTTTTTATTTGATGTTAAAAAGCTCAAAAATACAGAACAATAATAACAGAATGTGACCACAAGTTTGGGAAGTTGTGCAGTTATGGTGGGAGAATGGAAACACGATGACAACACTCTGGCGCCATCTTGTGGCTTTTCTAAAAGTCCAGAAGCTGCAAAAGAGAAAAGATGTAAGTTAATACAATTGTATGTTTTTGTTTAAAAGAAAGGACAAATAATTGTTAGATAAGAGTTTGATGACATTTAGGTTCAAATGACTAGTTTTAGAATGCTAAAGTTTTGCATTAATGCAAAAGTTAAATAATTTAAACCTTATTTTTGGATTCTACTGCTTGTTACTACAAAGCAGGTTAAAGTTTTCCAGGGTTTCTATAAGAGAGTCAGCCCAAGTGACACTGCTAACAAGTTAGTCAGTCAGTGTTAGCACAGAGCTGGTCACCAGCTGACTCAAGTCTGAGTCATACTTCTCCGTCAGCTCCAAGAGGGAGAGACACGAATGCACGGACGGAGACATTTTACCCTCATACTTCTCCGTCTCCTGGTGAGTGTTGCAAAGCAATTCCCCGCCAGGACAACAGAGGGCGTAGCGCTGTTTTGTGGTATCCTGTCATGTATCCAGTCCAAGACAGTGTTTATATTGTATTTTTTGTATATAAGAGACTTTTTAACACAGACAAATTTGTTTCTCATTCTCCTCCACCTCTTCATGCGCTCGCCACCTCTAAACCCACATTTCCTGTCATTTTCGTCCACGAATAAAACGCTTGCTGCGTAGCTTTTCACTCCTCCAGTCACGGGGGAATTAAACGTTCATATTTTAGAGTTGTTTCACGAGGTATTCTTCAAGGTTCTCCGTGTCTGCCGCTAGTTATCCTCTGCTCTCTTCATGTTTTTGAGGGCGCAATGATGGTGGTGTAGACGACAGCGGTGCCCTGACCAATCACAAGCTTGCGTTCTCCGTCTCGACGGACAGATGTTTAGAAATGAGAGCTCGACTCCGTCCGTCCTTGCGGGGGCTCTCCAGCAGGCCCGCAAGGACGGATAATGGCGTTGCGTGTCTCCGCACTGACGCAGACGTAGAAGTATGACTCGGGCTTAACTCAACACAGAAATTCCTCCTCTGGTATCGTTTGTTCCACTACATAATCTCTCATTCAGCCTGTTATGTCTCGTTCAGTTCTGTAATGGCTGGCTTTTGCTGCCGCCATAACAGTTACACAACTGATCCTGGATCAGTCAAAACCGCTAAAACCGCAGCTTTGACGGTCACATGATCGTGCTGTTTGAAATCGCAATTTCGGTCCAAAAACGATAGATCGTTCAGCCCTGATACCAATAATGAAATATTTTTTTCAGTGAAGTTAACCTTTAAGAATATACCGTGTTCGGTAAGCCTCTGATTAACACACTACTTAAAGAAAATCAGAAGCAAGTCTAGGAAAGAGTAGCTCAGGGCACAGGAGAACTGAGTTACTGTGAAACATATAAATCCAGTTTACATTAGTATATTATCCAAAATACCTGGTAAAGCTAATATGAAGTTGAATCAAATCATGCATTAAACTCTGAGGAACTTTTATTAATAAGCAAAGAAGATCAGCTGCATTTACACCAAATCGTTCAAACACACGACTCTGGATCACTAAAACAAAAGTAAAGCAGAGCCTACTGAGTCACATACCAGCTGTGGCAGAATCTTTTCAAAATGCTCAATCTCGACTTGGTTACAGTCCTCCGACTCGGCCTGTTTCTGTGACCTCACAGCAGCCTCTGGGAAAGACAAAACCTTCATCTTCGTAACAAGCTTTGACTAATGTAGTTTAGACGAGACTGAGCCAATCCGTTACCTGTTACAAACACCTTCAGCATTTCTGTCATGAGCACAACCGCATCAGCACTCACTGCAACAGTAAATCACTTTTGTTTAGTTGTAAATAAGACTAGTGACCCAGGGCGGTAATCAAACTCACGTTTGGTTTTGTCCTCCTTAAAGAAGCTTGACAAGAGTTTGCTTACGGTTTCCTTTAAGGACAGAACAGAGGACATTATCAGTGACAGTGTCGATCATTAAAGCAGAAATCCAGGGTTTTTCTAGAGGTGCATTGATACCAGTATCAGTATCAATACTGAGTGCGGTTTTTTTAGGCTCGTAAAAACTGCCCCAGTACTGCAGAACCAGATACTGACTGTGTGGATCCACCGTGGTGGACACTACGGCCCAATCTCAATACTCGCACTTGCACCCTTCAATTGCGCGTTCCAGGGGTGAAAGTGCGTAGGGTGTCCGGATTCTCAAGTGCGGAAGTTGACCACGCCGCCATTGCACCCTTAATCAGCACTTCACCCAAGTCCGCAGCGATGCGGACCTCGGGCAAGAGTATTACCCACAAGTCATTGCTGCAGGACAAAAGGCTCAAGTTCCTTTTCTGAAAATATATTTTCTAATGAAATTAGTTCATTTTAGGATGATTAGTTGATGCTGTGAATGTTTTAGACAAAGCAGCAATGAAGTTACATTAATTTCAAATAATTGCTTAGTTGTTTGTTTGAAAGTTGTTAATAAAGGTTTTGAAAAGTTTCACAGCGACCAGCATCCCTGCATGCGTTGCGATCGATGACACAATGCTCCCTGTCTCAATTCTGCAGTTATTTGCAGACTTGTATACTACGCAGTCGAACCCTACTGCACACTTTCTCCAAGTGCACTTTGCTGGACCGCAGGGCTCAGTACAAGTCTTGAAATTGGGCCGATCACCACCTCAGTGCCGCTGTCTCGGTCTGCCAGGCGATGCATCTTTCAGAAGTGTTTTTCCAACAGGAAGTGTGGATGAAATAAATCTACACCCATGCCTTGACTCCCACTTTAACCATCATTAAACTAGTTGAATAGGTGTTACCTCAGCTACTAAAAATAACCTGAGTCGAGCACGTCCTGATCTAAGTTTTCCCCTAGTTTCCTAACGAGTGAAGTGACTCCAAAACCGCACATATTTTAGGGAAGCCTGCCCACTTCCCTTGATTTAGTATTTTTATAAACACCTGCTAGTTATCTGAAAACCTGGAAGGATGACCAAAGTAACCTTTAGACCTTAGGTGATATTTTCTACCGTTTTAAAGAACATTAAAGATGCACTTTAAAGGAGCATCAATGATGCTAATTTTCTTTTCCTCCAATTCTGCTTCACCAGCAACTTTTCCAAGTTAACAAATGCCAGTTATCCTGGCAACATCTGCCGATATAACTACGCACAGAATTACAACCAGTCAGTCCTGCTCAGCGTTTCCACCTGGCCTTTCAGAGTAAATAGGAGAAAAGCTCATTGCACGAAGGTCTGTTAAAATCACCTGGAAATTCTGATAGTGGAAATAAGCTCTAGTTTATATGCAAGACGTGGACAGTGTTATTTTATGCTTATTGTTCTCCATCCAAAAGAAGATAGATATTTCTGTATAAAGTTTAAAAATATGAGATAATGTTTTAAATATGCTTGTACAACTAGATTATTCAGACCACGTAGTTGTTCAATAGAATAAGTTTGAATGTGATCAGATGACAAAAAGCACTATAATGTAACATTTTCTACATTTAAAAAGTTTTCCAAATAAAACACTGTATTTAACAATTGTGATTTCAGTGTAGCATAGTAAATTAGTCTAAAGAACTTCAGCTTTTTTCACTGGAGGTAACTAACATAACTTAGTGGACTGCAGAAATGCCCTTTAGTCAAATTATGAAACCAACTTCGCCTTGATTAACGAAACTACCTTAGAAAATTAAGACGTTTTTACTAAAATCAACGCATTTTGTTTATTTTTACACGACATGATGACAAAAAGCACTTTCAGCACTAAACGGAAATGATGTCTAATTCGTCGCAGGCATTGAGTTGCCAGAGTACCTGACAACTTTGAGACAATGTTTTTATTTTTCTGCCTCAAACCACAATAATCACGCTATCAGTTGGAAGGCTTCACAGGAGACACACAAGCTGGACGTACGTTACACCAATTACAAAAAGGCGTTTCATTTACCCATGAAAACACAAGTATGCAGTAAATAACGTTATACGAGAGCGGCACTTTGCTCTCACCTTTTTAAAACAAAGTTCTTGCTTCGTCGCCGCCATGTTGGTTTTGACGAAGGCGGTGTCGCTACCCGATCCGTACCGGAAACCCGATCGGTACCACGCATGCGCGAAAGGCGTCTACTTCCGCTCGAAGCATTTTACGATAGTTACGGGTCAGAGTATCTGTTAAGATGTTAAAAAATAATAAGTATCTATTTAAATGTTTGCAATAGTGAAACATTTCAATTTAATGTAGATAAAAATGAAAAAAAAAAACGTCGGACCGTACAGATCGGGTCTACCTGATCCGTACCGCGCATGTGCAGATGCTCTATTCTTCTTGTGATCCGTTCAATGGCAGTTTACTCCGCAGTGTACGAGGATACTGCCACTTGCTGACCGAGCGAATTAGCCCGATTGTAAACTGAATTTGCGTTGTTACAAATCATGTTTTTATATGCGTGTTAAATTTGATTTAGTGTGTTTATGCTTGTATGTATGGAGACGATTGGATTATCTTGATGTTCTGTTGATAATGTCCACTGTAAATTGTCAGTAAACACTGGCTGATTAGTCTTCAGGTAACCTATTACATGTTTGTTTTTTCTCCACACAATAGGTTATATTTTCATTTAAAAGATGAAAATGTGTCACTGTGATACAGCAGATATTCTTAATTTGCACTACATGTCCTATGAATGTTTTCCAATATGAAATGTAATATATTCTTGCACAAAAGCCAATTTGGCTCATCACCTAAAATTTGTTTACTTTCTACTTTTGTGTTAGATTTCTTCGTTTGCCACTTTGTCTTGAAATAACTTAATTCTTTGTAATACCATAGTGATCATTTTCACAATGTTGCAAAATTAATGTTTGAAAATAGTTTCTCAAGGTATTCATAAGTTAAACATATTAAATACAGATTTAACTACACTCATGTTTATATCCATATAAAATAACACAGGACCACTTTATAATTTCCACAGGTTTACTGTAATAATGCGGAACACAAACAACAGATTACAAGAGCATGAACAACAGAAAAAGGATTGAGAGGATGGTTACAACCCAGATTATTTGAATAAGGAGATACATATTGATGGAAATAAAAAGCTTTTTATTTTCAGCGTGCCCTTTCTGGCAGTGTGGTACTCTGAGTACCAGGTACAAGCCCAACAGATTCACTTTCTCAAACAGAGTGTGACAGTGTGAGTGTCCTATCACAATGTCCCGATTGATCATCCTTGATCAGTCCCTTTGGCTGACTGGTTAGAGTGTATGACTCTCACCCGGGAGTCTGGGGATCGAATCCCGCCCGGGCCCTCGTTTATCCACCTTGCCACAAGAGCATTACAGTTTTTGCTATAGTACTCCAAGAAGAATGATCAAAAACTCTCACAAAACTCTCCAATATGTCCATTAGGACACGTTCTGGTAACTGCAAAATTTATGCCACGTGACAATAGTGAAAATACAAAATTTGTCCATAAAGTTTCAGAAATATGAGGACTGAAAACACATTACATTGAGTAGTGTTTCATAACTATTACTTCATTCTACTACTGGATAATGTCTCTGAAGGAGCTGCCTGTGACTATAACTACTAATTCAGTTATATCAACAAATGAAAGAAACAGGAAAATCAATAGATTACCTCCAGTATAAGACACCTGTCAGCCTCAGCCATTAACAGAAAACATGATTATCACATTAGACTGAAATGAAGACTACCACCATGTATGTAAACCTGCATTGTGATGAATAGTCTCAACATTGTGTGGTTCTGTCCTACAAATAGTTATCTGATTGTTGTCCTCTCTCACCGGTCTGATTAGACTTGGTGAAGGCTTGGAGGAGGTTGCCTTTGGTACCCTGAAGACAGGCTGGAGAGTCCCCTGGAGGAGAAGGGATGCTTCTTCTGTCCAGAAGGCAAATCTTTGTCCATGCCTTTAGAAAACAACGCCAGTCTGAATGGACTCTAGTTGTGGACTGCTGCTTTCTTCAGTATGTTCGGTCACAGGGTTTACAGTAAGCCACTTTCACAAACATTTGTTTGACTTGATGTCTTGCCTGAACCAAAGCTGCAAATATGATGGTGCCAGTTTGTCTAAAGTGCCTGCCATACCCCTCAATGCCGAATCTCTCCAGCAGCTGAATACACCACCACAGGCGAATTGCTGGCATTTCCTCCTGAAGACAAATATAATGTAAGGTTTATGAAGACTGGAGACTGGCACAGATACTTTGGTGGTACTGTCTGAAAAAGCTTACCTCTGTGAAAGATGGTGGAGATGAGGTGCAGATGCAGAGAGCATACTGTAAAGTAAAATCAATCTTTAACATGTTAAAATGTTATATTCAAGTAATGGCAAGAAAATTCTCACCATCAGCATAAAGATGACGCAGCAATTTCCCATGAACTGCTGGGGAAAGAACTGTAAAAAGAAACATGTTTCATTAAATGAGGAGAGCTGACATGCACCTGCTAGTTGTTAATTGCATTATGATGCACCTGATGAGCTTTCAAACTTTTGCACTGAAAACATACCTCAAGGTCTCTTCCTGTTTTCTCCTGACAGAAGCACGTCATCGCCTGCTTGAACAACACACTGCCTTACTAGCTTCCTTTTCCGTGTTCCAAAGGTCTTCCTCTGGGTGTCCTGTGCCCTCTCAATATTGCGAAGAACCTACAAAAACATTACATGAAAAGCAGAGAGAGAAATATAAATATTTATTATTCACCAGGTCGCCATGGCAATGCTCATTCTGGAAATATAGAAATACAGAAAAGTTAGCTACTAAAGCAGTAAAAATGTTGAATACACTAACCACATTTCCCCTTTTTTCCTCAACAAGTCTCCTTTCCCTGTCAGTCAGCCCTCTTCAAATGTACAGACTGTTTCATTCAGAACCGTCATCTCCTCAACTCTTGTGTCGATGTCCTCTTCTGGGTCTGCAACCTCAAAGTCATCGTCCATGGGACAGGTGTTCATCACAGCAGGAAGATGTGGATGTCGGTAGAAGAGCAGGAAATAGGCACTGTGGCAGGTGGAGTGCTGATCACACAAAATCTCTCCATTAATTCATTTTCTCTTGCACTTGTCAATAACTTTTTTTTATAAACAAAATTAAAAACATTCTTAAGACGATGCTACACTGTGAAGCAGCGTAAAAGTCATACAAAATGTCAAAATAGGAATACCTGCTTTGCAGTGTTGATGCCGTACACCACAGCAGCAAGGTGAACGTCCCAGTCGTCATGGTTCTGGTTCACGTACTTTCTGAGAGCATGCTTAATGTTCTGGTTGGTCCTCTCATCCTTGAGTTGTATTGCAGAATAGATAAAGAAGCATGACTGATTTCCCATGAGTTACTCAAGGTTAGATATCCAAATGCTAACCTGCCTGTTGGTCTGGGGGTGGTAAGCACTGGAGACAGCATGTTTAATATTCAGCATGCTGAAAATGCTGTCGTTGAGCTGCAGTGGCATGAGCAGACTTGGTCTAAATACATCATCTCAAATGTCAAGGTACGACTAACACTTTCACAAATTTTACCTGGTTCACAAACTCCTTTCCTTGGTCAGTGATGATCTTCCTCACCATGCCAAACATGTATAACTTAGACGTCATGACTGCAGAGACCTCAGCAGCAGTCTTGGACTTAAGAGGTTCTGCAATCACCCAGAACGGTCATAGTCAGGACATATCGGTTCCCTAGACGTGTTTCTGGGAGTGGTCCAATGAAATCCATGCCCAGCAACTCCCAAGGTTCTTTACCTGCAGGTCACAGAACTTATCAAGTGAAAATTTAAAGCTAACCTGCAGCAGACAAGCTTATTAACTTGAAAATTAAATGTAAATAGCTTTAAGATGTACCTTGATGGGATGTAATGTTGGTGCCACGGTCTTGATTGGGTCATTCATCTGGCAGCGATGACAACATCTGACCTGAAAGGCGTATTCCAAACAATATGTCTAGGAAACCCTAAAGCAGTTGATGTAAATTGATAATAAAATAAAAAGACAGAAACTAATGTTGAAATGTAAGTGTGCAAGTAAACACATTCAATTATTCAGCCTACAGATGTTTTAGAAAAAATTATGACGACCTGATTTAGCTTCTTCTCTCAAATAAGGCTATTACCCATTCACTGATGTCCTGGTTCAATGTTGGCCAGTAAAAGCCAGCAACAACCATGTTTCGGGTACCTCTGACACCATTGTGGTTCCCGGTACCAGGGTTATTGTGGCACTCCATCAAAACAGGCTTCTTCTCCTCCTCTGACATGACTAGCAGGCGCATGCTCTGCATACTGGGGCCAGTGTAGAAGAGTCTATTGTCTGGAACAAGATAAAAATGAAAAAAAAAAGATGAGAGTTGCTGACTAAAGTAAATTGAAATGTCTGACAGATATTAAAGTTTGAGATCAGCACCAATATGGTACATTTACCTCCAATTGCAATTATCTTTAAAAAAATATATAGGCTATATATATATTGTATTTACGATTTTTTAAAAAATCTAAAATAAGACCACACACCAAGATATAGACCTATATATAGAGTTTCGATATTACAGACGATGCTACACGTATACACTGTACACTGATATTACTCGTTACACCCTCCTGAATCAACGCAGGCGTCATGCAACTTTAGAACAATAACGGAGAGTCTGTACCCTCAAGCAGCAAGGGCAGCTGTAGACCATGATAAAAGATCATCTTTAATTTTCGTACTTACCTTTAAGTCTGTAATTAGGCGCCACTCTTCTTATTTTACGGCGCTTTTGTTCAATCGTCGGAAGCTCTCCGTTGAGGAGAAAATCATGAATTTCGTTGGTTTCGGAGGTACTCATTGTTTAAACGTCCCGCAGTCGGTAACTGTCGCAAAGTTGGCAAAGAGAGGAAGTGACGTAACATTCGCGCATGCGTGGTACCGATCGGGTTTCCGGTACGGATCGGGTAGCGACAGGCGGGCTTGCACAGACATGAATACGTAGACACCTCTTCGAGCGCTGGAGGGCATAACAGCATTGCCGCCATATTGGGTGGGTTCCTCACTCACCAAACCCAACTGGAAGTGAGCAACTATGCCCGTTTTTGATTGTTGAAACAAGTGGCG